TTAAAAAAAAAAAAAAAGATTGACAGTTGACTTCTCAACAGAAATGATGTTAAGTCTGAAGACAATGGAATAACATCTTCAAAGTACTGAAATAAGAGAACTACCAACCTACAATCCTATAGTTAGGGAAAATAGCCTTCAAAAACATAGATAATTACCAAGAGAAATGAAAGCATATATCCCTACAAAGACTTGTGCATGAAATTTCATGCACCTTTGTTTTCAACAGCCACAAATAGGAAACAATGCAAATGTCTTTTAACAGTGAATAAAGAAATTGTGACATATCCATTCAATGCATGGCTATTCAGCATTAACATTATAAAGGACACATAAAGAACAATAAGAAGGAATAAACTATTGCTCCATACATGGATGAATCTCAAAAATTAAACTGAATGAAAGAAGCCAGAGCCCTCCACAAAAAGAGTCCATTCTGTAAAATTCTAGGGTATGTAAACTAATAAACATTAATAAACAGGAGGGTAGATGTTGGGAGATGGGTGGAGGGGGAGTTGAGATTTATTCCCATCACAATGGAAAGTCACTCAAAGACTTGCAGTAAGAGGAGCGCCTGGATGGCTCAGATGGCTAAGCGTCTGCCTTCGGCTCAGGTCATGATCCCAGCGTTGTGGGATCGAGTCCCACATCGGGCTCCTGGCTCAGCAAGGAGCCTGCTTCTCCTTCTCCCTCTGCCTCTCTCCCTGCTCAGGCTCTCTCCTCTCTCTCTCTCTCTGTATCTCTGTGTCTCAGATGAATAAATAAAATCTTAAAAAAAAAAAAAAAGACTTGAAGTAAGAGAGTGATATAATCCGTTTTGCTTATTTAAGAATTATCACTCTGACTGCTGCAGGAAGACTGGTAGGATTGGGACAAGAGTGAACACAGATCAGCTGGGAGGATGTTGTAGTCATGCAGGGAGCTGTGGTGGCAGTAGAAACGGAGAGGGGAGGAAGGATTTCGGAATGCATCTTCAGAGTACACAGTACTTAAAAGACATAGGAATGGATGAGAACACCCAGGAAGAAGGTATAGCAAGAAAAGGAGGTCCCACAACTCAACCCTGAGGCCTGCCAACAGTTAGAAGGTGTGCAATGAAAGAGGACAAGCGGGGTGCCCGGGTGGCTCAGTCATTAAGCATCTGCCTTCGGCTCAGGTCATGATCCCAGCATCCTGGGATCGAGCCCCACATTGGGCTCCCTGCTCAGTGGGGAGCCTGCTTCTCCCTCTGCTGCTTCCCCTACTTGTGCTCTCTCTCTCTGTCAAATAAATAAATAAAATCTTTAAAAAAAAAAAAAGAAAGAAAGAAAGAAAGAGGACAAGCCCACAAAGGAGCCCAGGAAAGGTCAGTGAGCCAGCAGGAAAGGTGTCTTGAACCCCCACTGGGAGGGGTGCTACTGAGGATTTAATAGTGCTCGTTGACTTGGAAACACCACCGACCAACCGTGATAAACACAGATTTGGTAGAGCCATGGGTGGGTGGAAGACAGATCAAAAGAACCAAAATGTTCATCATCAGTAGGATAAATGAGCTGTATTATACTCAAACAAGGAGAGACTATATAGCAGTGAAAATTAATGAATTATAGCTCAATAATCAACATGGATGAATCTCAGAAACAAGGGGGAGAAAATGAAGCAATTATGACTCCAAATATGTAACAAACAAAACAGGTAAAACAAAATAGGATAGTACTGATGGAGGGGTGCCTGGCTGCTCAGTCAGTAGAGTGTGCAGCTCTTGATCTTGGGGTCTTGAATTCCAGCCCTATGTTGGGTATGGAGCCTACTTAAAAAAAGGTGGGGGTGGCGCCTGGGTGGCTCAGTTGGCTAAGTATTCAACTCTTGATTTGGGCTCAGGTCATGATCTCAGAGTCCTGAGATCAAGCCCCATGTCGGGCTCTGCATGCAGTGTGGAGTCTGCTTGAGATTCTCTCTCTCCCTCTCTTTCTGCCCCTCCCGGGTCACGCACACACACACACACACTCTCTCTCTCTCTCTTGCGCGCGCGCGCTCAAAAAAAAAAAAAGAGAGTACTGAGGGATACATACATTGCTAGAGAAAAGTATAAAGGAAAGCAAGAGAATATGTAACACAAAATCTGGGACACTGGTTAACTGTAGAAAGCAAGGTTGGGGATGAGATTGGGGAAGGAGGACAAAGGGACTTCTAGGGTTTGGGTGATGCTCTTTCTTGACCTGGCAGTAAACACACAGGTACATTCTGTTTTGTTCCTTAAAATGTACACATTTTACATGTATGCCTTATTAAGCAATGAAAATACAAAGAGATCAAATATTTTGTGCACAAAAAAGCAAGAGATGATGAAGTAAGGAAGTGGGTATAGACAGCTCTTCAGAGATGTGTTACTATGAAGAGGCGCAGAGAGCAAGAACTGGAAGGAGATGCGCCGTCAATGGCGTTCTCCAAAAATGGGTGACACGAAAGCATGTGCATCTGCGGAGGGGATAACCATCCAGTAGAGGGAGAGCTGATCACTGCGGGAGAGGACCTTGAGCATGTGAGAGGGATGGCATCTCGTGCCCTGGCCTCTCCAACACTTAGAGGGGCAAGACACGGTGGTGAGGTTGAAAGCAGGCTGTAGGCCTGGGAGTGAGAACAGGCCAGTGTTTGTATCCGATGGCCTCCATTCTCTCAACGCAAAATGAGAGAGGTCATCAGCCGAGAGTAAGAGGAAGGGCTGGGGAGCTCGGAGGAGGTGAGACAGTTGTCTCTAGAAACGAAACAGCCAGCCTATTAGAAAGCCAGGCCATGCTGAGCGCTCACTCGCCGTTTGTGACTCAAGGCCAAATCGAGGGATTCGGTTCAGCTGGGTGGGCAGGAGCGCAGGCAGGCTGACGGCAGAGCCCTTCCAGACCTGGAGCCTTGCACTGCTGTCCAACAGCATGTTCCGTCGTGACGGAGACGTTCGCTCATCTGTTCAGTCAAACATGGCGGCCACTAGGGTGGCTGGTGAGTACTTGAAATGTAGTATGTTGAGGAAATGAATTTGTAGTTTTATCTCACTTTAATTGATTTAAATCTAAGTAGCCACATGTATTCTGCAAAGTTTCATGACACAAAATCACATAAAAATGAGTTGAGTTTCTATATACTAGCAATGAACAATCCAAGAAGGAAATTAAGAACACGAATCCACTTATGATAGCATAAAAATACCTAGGAATAAATCTTAGGTGAAAGATTTGTACACTGCAAGCTACCCTGCTGAAGGAAATTCATGAAGACATAAGTAAATGGAAAGACGGCTTGTGCCCGGGCATTAAGAGGACAACAACTACCCAAAGCAACCCGTAGATTCAATGCAATCTCTAGCAAAATCCCAGAGGGGCTTTTTGCAGCAATAGAAAAACTCACTATGGCTGGTGGCTACTGTATCAGCTCAGCTTACAAAAGCTGTGAGTAAATTTTTTTCAGAGACCTAGACCTCTGACTGGGTTCTAGGTCCAGCATCCAGGTATGTACTTTCCACAGTGTCTGGCGCATAGTAGGTACTCAGCAAGCGTAGGATGAAGGATGCAAGGATGAGTAAGACGATGCAGAACAGCAGAGTCAACTTTGTGGGTGTCCTTGGGAAGTCACTTCAAGCAAATTGAGACTAATAATTTCTGGATATTATGAGTAGTGAAGGGCATGCTTCTAGAATAGAAAAGGCTGCTGGACCATGACTTTAGACAAATTATCTAGTAATTAATAGTAGCATTCCACAGATGTTACTAAATAACTCCTTCTCAGCATGTTTGCATGGATTGCTTGAGATACTTTATGTAAAGAACTTAGCAGCATCTGGCATATAATAAATGCTTAAAAAAATGTTGCTAACTATCATCAAGATTAAAATGAGATCAAGGATATGAAAGTGGTTTTTTACAAACTCTAGTGTACCATAACCAAACTCCAGCAAAACCAAAAGTAGGTTTGGACCTGGGTTCAGTGTAACTGTAGACATATCTTTACAGACTCATCAGGAGCTCACCTGAACACCATACTCTTTGGGAAGGTTGAGCGTACACGCTGGCGTTTCCACTGCTAAAGTCCACCTCCAGATGCAAACTTTCTGTGAGTGACAGCAGATAGAGGAGAATGAGAAGGTTCCTGAAGGCTGCTGAAGTACCCTACACCTCTCGTGCTAACCCTGTAACTTCGGCTCACGGAGCACGGCACCGTGAGCTAAGCCCCAGGGAGAGAGCCCCCGACAAGGGGCCATGGGGTCCGGTCGTTCCCTGAGAGCATCACAGATGCCACGTGGCCTGAGCAGAGCTGCTCACCAGGACACACTCGACAGGCTGGCCAGCCCGCTGAGGCGGACTCCAACGGCCCCATACCTGGATTTCAGCATCCGAGATGGTTGCCAGATACTTGGCGTCCCGGGTGATGGCTATGGCCCCGATGCCGTTGCCGTCTGGGCAGCTGTCAAATATCGTGTGCACAGGAATGCTGCAGAACAGGGCAGGGGAACACCCATTTTGGGGGTCTGCCTTGCTTCCCAGACAGACTCACTTCAAAAGCCCAATGGCTATGGAGGAACCAAACGTGGTCCATCCATACAATGGACTATGATTCAGCCGTACAAAGGAATGAAGCGCGGACCCCTGCTGTACCAGGGTGGACCCCGAAAACATCATGTGAAGTGAGAGAAGACTGGCACAAAGACCACATGTTGTATGAGTCCATTGATAAGAAAAGTCCAGAATTAGGAAAGCCATAGGGACAACGCAGATTGGTGGCTGCCAAGGGGAATGGGAGTGACAGCTGATGGTTTTGGGTTTTCCTTTTGGAGGGCTGAAAATATTTTGGAACCAGGGGCGCCTGGTTGGCTCAGTCGGTGGAGCATGCAACTCCTGATCTCAGGGTTGTGAGTTCGAGCCCCACGCTGGGCATAGAGATTACTTTAAAATCTTTTTTTTAAAAAGCAGTTGGAATACAGGTGGAATACAGGAATACAACACTGTAAATGTGCTAAATGCCACTAAACTGCATACTTTACAATAGTGAATTTTACGTTATGTGAATTTTACCTCAATTAAAAAAAAAATAAAACTAACTCAGCATAAGCAAACGTGCTATTTGTTCTCTTCATGAAGTCAGCCATCACTCACTATTGAGTGCTGATTCTGTGCCAGGCACGAAGGATGGAAATATGAAAAAAGATGCCTGGGACAATACCCCAGCTCTCAGGAAAACAAGCGCCCTCCCACCTAAGCGGGAATATAAATAAGCCCAAGCTTTCTAGACAGCAACTTAGCTGCATCTATTAAAATTTTAAATGTACATACCCTATGACCCAACAATTCCTCTTACACAGCATTTTCCCAGAAAAACAATAGCAAAAGTAAACAGATAGATATAAATTCATGTTCACTGTGGCACTGCTTTAATGGAAAAAAATCTGGAAACAACACAAATATCCATGGATGTGGGAACTGTTAAAAAATATCATGACATAACCATATAATGAAAAACTAGGCTATTCTCAAAAAGAATGAAGTAGATGTGGGACGGTGACCAAAATTTTGTGAAAAAAGCAAACTGCAAAACAGTGTAGGTAGCATCATCCTGAGTGAGGGAGAGAGAGTGCATGCATTTCTGTGCACAGAGGAGTCCAGAGGACGGGACTCCAAACTAAACAAGGGTGACTCTGGAGACGTGTTTGGGTGAGGAGGGACTTTCATTTTTTTTTCCCTCATTCACCTCTGTACTGTGTCACTGGCAAGACTGTAGACCGTAAGAAGCAGGCAAAGCCTTGTCACATGCAGAATTAAATTAGATATTTAAGTATCTAAGAGAGCCCAAGAGATGCAGGAGACAGCAGAAGCAAGGATGGGAGCGATGGGGTGAGCGGCAGCACGGGGGGCGGGGAGTCCCCGACCTGCACTGGCAGTGAAGGGCCGGTGGTACGAAGTCCTAATCCACATACAAGGGCTGGTGGTTCCCCACTGTTCTTCATTACGGAGCCCTTGCTACGGGAAACATCCACAGGCCTCAGAGGTCACTTCGGGGCCCCAACTGGCTGGGACCAAGTCTGTGCCCCAGCTGAGGACCTGGCTGGTTCTCTGTCGCTTGAGAAAACCGCACCCCCCTGGGAAGTTGCCCCCAGATGCACTTGGGAAGGCAGTCCTAACACTGCTGTGAATGACACAGTGATGTCCTTAGTGGGGAAAAGCATCTTATCCCTGTGGATATTCAGAATTAAATATAGAGACAGTGATGTCAGTTGGGCCTGTATTATAAACGTACTGGTGGGAAGAGAATTTGTTTATTTTGTTTAGGAATGGGTGATGTTTAAGAGAATTAACGTATTAGAGCCTCTGATGGATTAGATTTGTGATTCTAATTTAAAGCCTGTAGTTGATTTAGACTTGTGATTTTAAATTCAAATCACATTGGTTTATAAACAATATTAGAATACTTATGAGAACGTAAGATTTGCCATAGTTATGTCTAATTTATTAGATTTACAAGAATTACTTAAGTATGGGTGAAGGGTTTATTTTTTAATCAGACTACTAAAGACCTTAAAGATAAAACCAAATATATTCAATTTCTAAGTGCAGTTTAAAAGTGTTTAAAAGGAATTAATAATCAAATCTATGAGTGGGGCCAAACATTAATCAAAACCCCCTTAAAGGCAATTGCAAAAATATGCTAGATTTATAAAAGGAGTAAGATTTATAAGTTGAATGAAAAGCTTAAGGAAAAACTATGGTTCTTATAACTTTAATAAAGTGAATATTCATTCTAAAACCAAATAATCTTTTCTGGGTCCCAAAGTCATCATTTACTATATCGTAAAATTATATGGACATATTGAATTGTTAACCACAGAGGCACTTTGTAATTAAAAAGAAAAAATCACCTCCAGGGTCACCCCCCCCCCTGCATCTAGTGGGGGAGACAGCTTTTCAAGCAAGAAAAAAACAAAGAATAAACAGTTTTTAGGAGGCCAGCCATGCCTGGGGAAGGGGCACTATCAGCAACAGCTTCAGAGAAGAGACACACGTGAGGAGCCCGCCCTTCCTGCCTGCGGATTCTCGGTCACAGGATGTAACAACTTTCCCTCGTGTGTAAGTCGGATGTCCCAGTACTTGCAGCTGGAAACATGTGACAGCCACAGGTGACAGCTAGTCACGCAGAGGGGGAATTTCACTTTCTGGGGGACAAGTTCCTGTGGCTATGATGCAAGATGCATTTTCCCTCTAACACAGGCTGGGTTGGCAAGAGGCAGCCTCTGAAGGGTGTTCAGCAGGGAAGCAACACAATCAGATTTTGCATTTGGGAGATCACACTCAAAAGGCTGTGGAGAAAAACCACGTGATGCTACATGATGATGTTCACGTATCTGTATTTAAGACAACAGCAAATATTCTGGAAGGAAACACACCAAATTGACTACCTCTAGGAAGAAGACAAAGATTGGAGATGGTGGCCAAAGGAGACATTAGCTTTCAATTAAGAGATTATTAAAAATCAACAGATAAGTAGATAAGCAAAATTGGTATATCCATGCACTAGAATCTTGAAAAGAAAGGAAGAACTGATTCATATGCTACAACACAGGAGAACTCTGAAAACATTATGCTGAGAGAAAAACCAGACACAAAAAGCCACATATGATTTACGGACATAAAATGACAACAGGCGAACCCAGAGAGACAGAAAATAGATGAGGGGCTGAGGGGAGGGAGAGTGGGGAGCTCACTGGCACAGAGTTTCTGTTTGGGGTGATGAAAATGTTCTGGAAATAGTGCCGATGGTTGCACAACATTGTGAATGTAATTAATGCCACTGAATTATGTTTAAAAATCGTGAAGATGGGGCACCTGGGTGGCTCAGTCAGTAAAGCAGCTGGCTCTTGGTTTCGGTGCAGGTCATGATCTCAAGGGTCCTGGGATTGAGCCCAGCATCGGGCTCTGTACTCAGCGAGGAGTCTGCTTGAGGATTCTCCCTCTGCCCATCTCCCTACTCACGCTCTCTTGCTCTTAAATAAATAAATATATATATCTTTTTTTTTAATTGTGAAGATGGCCAATTTTATGTTATGGATATTCTACTACAATAAAACAAAATCCCCATTCTGGAGGCTGGGCTTCAGAGTGAAGCTGCAGAGAAGGAAGCCAGGCATGCGAGAGCCCCGATGACACCAGGTGGGGCAGGGGCAGTGGGGGTGGGTTCAGAAGTCATCTGGGAGGAGATGCAACAGGGCTTTGGGACATTTTAGCAGGAGATACCCATGGGACATGCAGGTGGAATGTTCTCCAGCAGCTTCCTCATCCGAGAAAAGAGGAAATATCAGGTGGTTATGGAGATGAAGATGGTATGGTTTCAAACCCCAGGTCTGTTCCCTCCTGGCTGGAGAAGAGTACCAACCGAATCCTCACCACCTCAGGCCAGAGGAAACAGAGTCTCAGAAGGTGGATGAAAACCAAGGGGACATGGTATCATAGAAGCCAAGAAATGAAGAGTGTCAAATGCTGCCAAGATGTCCAGTAAGATAAGGACCAGGATTAGGTAACATGGCCCCAGGAGGTCGCCAGTCACCTGGGGGACCTGTATCTTAGAACATCCAACATAACTTTCCAGAACACTTGAGAGCATTAAACACAACTTCTTCCTAATCATGCCCAACTGGACTCATCCACCCCCCATGTCACCCCACCCCCCCACAACCCAACCAGGGCCTTACAATCTTATCAGTTAACCTAGCACTGCACTCTGCCTCTAGGACCGGGAACTAAGAAAACTCACGTATGAGCATCTATCACAGGCCATGTACTGTGTGCTCTCCTGGTCTTCATGACAGTCCTGTAAGGTAAGTGTAATGCGCTGAGGGCCCCCTCAAAAGTCATGTCCACCCAGAGCCTCAGAATGTGAACGTTATATGGGAATAGGATCTTTGCCAGTGTAGTTAGTTCAGATGAGGTCATGCTGGATTAGGATGGATCCTAAATCCAATGGCTGCTGAACTCAGAGAAGACACAAAGAGACACACAGGTGAGAATGCCATGTGAAGACAGAGGCAGAGACTAGAGTGACTAGTCTACCAGCCAAGGAACGCCAAGGACCGCCAGCCACCACCAGCAGCTGGGAGAGGGGCCTGGAGCAGGTTGTCCCTCAGAGCCCCAGAAGAAACCACCCCTTTGGGCACCTGATTTCAGACTTCCAGCCTCGTGAACTGTGAGGGAATAACTCGCTGTTATTTTAAGCCACTTGGTGTGTGATAATATCTTAGAGCAGCCCAAGGAAACTAAAACAGTGGGTATGATTAGCCTCCTTTTTTGTAGGTGGGGAAAGTCACTTCACTTCTCCGGGCCTCCAAGCTGGGTTAGTGTGAGTTAACCTTCCTCAGTCCCATCTACTCTGGGACACTGCCAAACCAAGTTTCTGGGCCTAAGGAGCCAAGAACTGTAAATGGGAAATTCACCAAGGTAATGTCACTTGATCAGGCCTCAAGGCAACAAGATGGCCAGCCTCCCCAGGCTGCTTTACCCTCACCCGGCATCCCGTCACTGGCTTCTGCACGCCCAGACCGGCATTACTCATTTGTTGCAGATCACTATGCTAGGTAGGAGAAAGCAGGACTGCACCAAGCCTACCCTGTGAAGGAGTCCCATATAATTATCAGGCAGTTGGGCCCTTTGTCAGCCGTGGCAATCCACCGCCTGTCTTCACTGATGCAGAGGCAGGAGATCACATTAGGGTGGCCCTGCAGAAATGCACAGAAAATGCTTTGAAACATCAAGGACAGTAGGAGAGGCTGGGACCCCAAAGAGAGAACTAAGCTCCCTTTCCAGGTTCACCTGGCTGAAAATTCCACTCCTACGGCCTTTCCCTGGCATTTCTCCATAGCCAGTGGTTTTCAGATTTTCTCTCCCTCAAAACCCCGAAGGACAAGTCACACTCCCCACGAGGACAGGGGCTCCCTACAGGTCTAGGCATGTGCCCAACTCTGAACCCAGCTTGAAAATAAATGTTGGGGTTCTGCCCAACTGCCAGCCCCCTTGAAGCCCTGCTGGCCTCATCTCCCTAAAACAGTGTCCACATCAGGTCACTGAGCAGCTCCGGAGCAAAAGCCTCTTCACTGGTCTCTCTGCTTTCCTTCCCATCCCCCGACAATCCTTGCCCAGTAACTCAGGAACCTTCTGGAAACACAAACAAGATGGTAGTGGTCCCTGCCAGGAAATAGCCCGTTTCCTCCCTTCTTCATCTCCCCTTGCTCACTCCGAGTCAGCCATACTGGCCTCCTTTCTGGGCCCCATGGGCAGGCCTGCAAACCTGGAGTTCTCTGGGTCTGGAATGCTCCTCCCCAGACTGCCCCTGGCTAGTTCATTCTCCTCAGTCAGTCAGATCTTGGCACAAAGGGCACGTTTGCATTGCCAGCCCACCCAGTCAGACGGCCATCTCTCACTCTTGATCTCTCTCCTGCAGCAGTCCACATTGCCTTTGGAGTGCTTATTATAATTCGTAATTGTGTGGGGAGGGCAGACATGTAGGACACCAGGGAGGCACAGAGGGCACTGGAAATACATGAAGATGCTCAAGGGAGGAAGGCATAAGGACAACAACCATCCTACTCGACGCTTCCACGTCAGGGGACCTACATTCAAGACCTGGCTTCACCAGGCACCAGTGCCACCTTGGGCAAGTCAGTTAAACCGCTCTGAGCCTCAGTCTTTTCTTCTGTAAAATGGGGATATTAACACCCACTCCTCAGCATGGTTATGAGGATCAAAGCCATTTTAAACCTGCAAAGCCCTCTAAGTGTTAAGTAGGTCCAAATCCCTGCTGAAGCCTTTTGTGTACCCCATGGCACTGTGGAGACAACATGATCTGTCCTGACCACGGTTTTACGAAAATGTAAAAATACAGATGTCTTAAATTCTTGTTGCTATAAAATTAAAATCAATTGCTGTTTGTAAATGGATTCTGATTAGAAACAGAGACAATGAACAATAAAATGTGTTTCTAAAGACAAGACTTGCTATAGTTCAGGGGCACCTGGGTGACTCAGTTGGTTAAGCATCTGCCTTTGGCTGAGGTCATGATCCCTGGCTCCCCGCTCAGTGGGAAGTCTGCTTCTGCTTCTCCCTCTCCCTCTGTCCCTCCCCTTGCTTGTACTCTCTCTCTCTCAAATAAATAAATAAAATCTTAAAAAAAAAAAAAAAAAAAGACTTGCTATAGTTCAGAAGAGAGGTAGGAAAACATGATAGTGACATAATGAAGTCAGCCCTTGGAATAAAAGATAAAATGCTATATTCTAGTGAAAAACAACCTCTTTTACTTGTAATTAAAAACAACAACAACAACAACAACTTGCAGGGGCGCCCGGGCGGCTCAGTCGGTTAAGCATCTGTCTTCAGCTCGGGTCATGATCCCAGGGTCCTGTGATGGATCCCCCACATTGGGCTCCCTGCTCAGCAGGGAAGTGTGTTTCTCCCTTATGCTCTCTCTCATTCGCTCTCTCAAATAAATAAATAAAATCTTAAAAAGCAACAACAAAAACTTGCATACCTGAAGATGGTGCTGAGTATTCTTGAAAACATTGTAGATGACCGCAGTGTGAGCACAGACATACAGAAGAACTCTCTGGTTTTCGTCTCGAATATAGTAAACAGGAAGAGAATTGTTCCATCCGAAAGACCAAGTCATGGTCTGGAAGACAAAGGCAAAACCAGCAAGACACTAAGTGTGCCGAGCCCAGAACTGTGATGCCAGGCACCCTTGGCACAGTCTCTGGAGGAGAAGGATTTCACATCATCAGTCCAAAAAGGAGAAATCACTTCACGAATGTCCTCAACTGCGTGCTACGGTGCAGATGACCCTTGAAACCACGATGCTGAGTGAAAGCGGCCAGACACACAGGACCGCACAGTGCATGCTCAGTCAGATCCATAGAGACAGAAAGTAGCTTAGTGGGGGAAGGTGGGTGGAGAGTGACTGCTACGGGATATGGACTTCTCTTGTGGGGGATGAAAACGTTCTGGGATTAGACAGTGGTGACGGTTGCACAACCTTGTGAACATGCTAAAAACCAACAGATGGGGCGCCTGGGTGGCTCAGTTGGTTAAGCGACTGCCTTCGGCTCAGGTCATGATCCTGGACTCCCAGGATCGAGTCCCGCATCGGGCTCCCTGCT